AGTATTTGATTCTGATAATAGCAAGTACTGTATGGATGGCTCATAAACTATAACAATAGATATAAAAATATCACAGTTCTTCCTATTGTCCATTTTGCTTAGTGTTGCCCCTGCTCACATAGTAAGTACTCAGCATATATTTATTAAGCTGGCATCTGGATTTTTGCTTTGTTTTTCGGATCCACAAGACAGAGTTTAGATTGAAAGCGCCCTCTCATCACCCAGGCTCCGTTTGCCACAAACAGGAAATGACTTTGCCTCTCCCTGTCGAAGCCCAGTTCCTGGCAAAACATTGCTAAGCTACTTTTTTAAAGAGAGATACTATAGCTTGAAATTTGGCAGCTTGCTCTTTCAAAGTGACAGCTTTCAAAAAGTCTACCTAACACAATTCAGTCCAATTCCAAACACATCAGAAAATGGGCTGTTAAAAAAAAACTCTCTCCTCATGAGCCAGCTGCCCTGCTGTCCTCCTACCCTTTCCCTAATAGGAAAAAAATGGATTCGTTTCTCCTTAGGTTGTAAAAATATTCTTCAGAAAATGATTATACCTGTCACAGACGGACTCTTGAAAGAAGTTAAATGTTTCGGTTCATATCCTAGGAATTCCCTAGGGAACTGAATTCTCCATGCAATCTTTGGTAATATTATTACCAAACTATAGGCATAAATACTGCCCATGAGGAAGTAGGTCTGCTTATTGTGCAAACAACAGGATAAAGGTTCCTTTTTCATGTTTCTTTTGGATACTCCAAAATTTAAAGCATCATTAATTAGAACGATTAAAAACATTTTCTTAAACAGCTTATTGTTTTTTAACCATTGTTATTAAAATGTGCTGTAGTATAAAATATATCAGAAATGATCAGCTTCTAAGAGAAAGCTAGAATAAGAGAAATGAGACAAACACCTTCCTCAGGTACTCAAATCCCTCTGTTTTACTTTTCTTCAAGCCTGAGGTGTCTCAACACCCTCCAAATGTATTTCCTTCTCTCCGTTAAAATTACCTTTAGAAAACATAATTTCAATTAGGTCATTTTACTATTTAGAATCTTCTGCAAGTCACCCATTAAGTAGAGGAGGAAAGGTTAAGGTCTTTAAGACCTGTTATGGTGGGATCCCTGTCTACTTTTCTGATGCTCATCTCCCCTCTCTTGTTCTCACTACTTGATACATACTGTTCCCTCTGCTAGAAATGCCTTTCCATGCACTTGTCTACTTGAAACACTCCTATTCATCCTCTAAAACCCAACTCAGATGTCCTTTCATCAAAAGCCTTCCTTACCCTCCTTCTCACTCTACCCACACCACTAGTGTTCCTTTCTCCATTATTTCACTGCATTTTGCATAATCTCTGTTACAGTCTGTGTCTTACTGATTTGCAGTGATCCTTTCTTTGTTTCATCTAATAGGCGGAGAGTTGCCTGAGGCCAAGGATTGACTTACTCAACCTTGTCTCCCCAGAGAGAGGCTGGCACATGTCTGACACATACGTGGCAGTTGTTAAATGTTTTTCCACAGACCTAGTGATGGGATGAACTAGTTCTATACAACATTATTTCTTAATCATACATTGAATGCCTTTCTTAGTTTTTCAGTAATTTTGAATCCAGAGAGGTTTACTCTGCACAAAGGGGAGATTGGTAATTAGTTAGTTAATTAGTTGATTTATATCTGACAAGCAGTGGTGGGAGGGAGGAGTTGCTCAGAAAGACATAAGATCCCATTAGTCTGAAATATACTAGCTCTTGCATTTATTTGATGCTTTAATGATCCAGATTTGTTTTCCAGTTGTATTTATTGCATTAGACCTGTTAGATAAGTATTATAATTACTGCTGCAAATTATCAGCAATGGTTAAAAACGCAAAGTGAAACTAGCCTAAGAACATACAATTATCTCCTGGAACATTACATCTCCTGCTAAAATAACCTTTGAGGCCAGGAAGGCTGTAGAAATGCCAACTGAGCACACAGAATAGTCTATTAGAAATAGGTGCAAATCCAAATATCTATGTGAAAATCTTCCTCAGCTACAATTGATTTCCAATGGTGGCATCAAGGATACCTAAAAGCGTGTGAGGATGTCAAACCCCACCACTGATTGGCTGGTCCATCTTCTAAGATTCAATTATACCTTCATGTATTTCAGTTTTTCTTAAATATTGTGCTGCTGCATAGGAAGAATCTTATGTGAGTTTATATATTTTGAAATACATGCTTAATAATTCTTAACAAAATATTCACTAAAGTCGCAAAGTAAGGGTATTCTACACACTCAGTATGTATTATATACACCGACCACCCAAGGACTAATCAAAATGAAAAATCTGGTATTTCCCCTTTTTCCTCCTCTTACATCTCTGCCCTTCTGAGTCCGTTTCGGTTTCACAAGAGCAGGCTGCTAAAGGGGAACTTTGGAAAAAAGCTTCTATTGAAACAAATGAAGAGAGAAAATCTGATTTAGGGCTTTGTGTTCCTGGATCCAAAGCCATCCTTGCACAGGGGATCAGGGAAATACAAGTCCTCTTGGAGGCCACTAGTGGCCAATACATGAACTGCAAGAAGATGGCTTTTAAACTTGTGTAACTAAGCTTTAGCAGGGAGGACTGGGGAGAACTTGTATTTAGTGTCAGAAAATCCACTTTCCATATAAGTAAATAGAAATTTGAAATGAAAAAGATAATTAGGGGATGGGCCTTCTTGGTCAGATGGTTTGTACACTGGTATTTGTTTTTCTGTCCTATGCATCTGGGGCTTACTGCAGTGTTTCCTAGGTTCAGAGACCCTATCCTCAGCACGTAGCACTTAGCTCATTTGTGTGAGAAATAAAAACTCAGTTATTACAGATGCATGCTTGTTAAATCTGGGACCTGTTACTGATAATAAGAGCATAATGACTCTAGGTTTGATGAGTCATTCAGTTCTCAAGTGATCGACTGTTTACTCATTCCACGAATACTCACTGGCCACTCACACTCTTATGCCAGAGCCTGTAATAAGTATCCCAGAACGTCACTCGGGTTGTGGATATATATGATTGCCAAGCAAATCATGGCTGATTTTTCAAAATAATTGAATTCAATATAATTCCCCACCCCTGTCTCCGAGAACAAATTAACAAAAAAATAGCAATCCCGTATTTTTAAAAATTGATCTACCTGCTGAAGTTCTCCAACAGTTTTGATTTTTTATTGGCAAGAGTTCGTTCAGCTCTCAGACACTTAGGGGATACAGGCTGTACATATTCCCCTCAGAAGCAAGGGCTCCCTGCAAGGGGCTCCCCACCTGGAGGGGTGTGGTCATTTGTACATGTCCTGTGGGTCAAGTAGTCTCACAGGCACTGGTTGTTGGGTTCTTGTGACAACTGTGAAGTAGGTGTTGCTTCCATTTTGTTGATGGGGAAAGTGAGGCTCGGGGCACTCACACAACTTGCCCTGGATCCCAGGGAAAGCAAGTGGCAGATGTGAAACAGGAACTGAGGTTTTCTGAGACCTGGACCAGGTGGCTCTTTGTTATACTTCCCTGCCTCTGTGAAGGTTCACATCCTCCTCACCCATCTTGTGCCTTTTCTCTGTTCTTCTCGCCCTCACCTCCTGTCACCTTGGCCCCCTTCCTAGAGACCAGAGTCTTCTCGGCCAGAGGGAAATTTTGCTAGAACACTGAGCACACCAAGGTAGCCTGGTTGATAATTTGATGTCTGCAGGCTTTCCAATTTTGTTTACATTCTTAAGAAAAAGGAAAGAAAGAATTCCAGGCTGGGCAGCGAGGAGTAAACGTCAACTATTTGCTTTGGCCTCAGCTTCCTAATCTATAGCGTGGCGGGTTAGATGAGTAGATGAACAGCTCGGTTCTGTGGCTCTAATGGTGGAGTCTTAGAGAATGCATCACCCAGATGGCGGGGGAGTGCAGAACTACATGCTTATAAGCTTGCCTTGGCCCTTCTGCTCCTCTGAAGATGCCCTTCTGTTTTACAATCTGCGTCTCCCACGCACAGAGGGCACCCCATGATGGCAATGAGTCTCTCTCTGTTTTCACAACTGGATACCAATCATCTAGATAGGATAGCAACACAATCAAACCTGTCCAGAATACCTGGGTAGTTCTCTGATTTGCTGAACTTGTTAATAATCAACATTATCCTTTCTCTTTGCTTTCCCCAGCTGATCTCTTTCTGACAGAGGTGGATGACCCACACACCACAGGGCGATCGTGGGCACTTAGCCCAGCAGGTGGGTGTTTACGTCCCAGTGAAACCTACCACAGAGCACCTTCAGGAGCAAAAGCGGTTTGATGCATGCATGCTACTGACAAAAAGTGCCCCCTGCTAAATGCCATTCAGGGACATGATTCTGAATGTCCCCGCCATAGCCCAAGGGAATGGCGTCTGTGTCACCAAGCCACCACTGACACTGGGCCCTGCCACAGCTGACAGGGCTGAATGGAGGTCGACTGCTGGCTGCTGCTCCCAGAGCAGGTCCCCTGGGATCAGTGACGGTGAGAGCAGGGACACAGCTGCCTCACGGGCTCACCAGACTGCTCTGGAGAGAAAGAGAGCGCTTCCGTCCCCATTACTGTCAGAGTCTGGCATCTCTTGCCAGCTCTGAAATTCACAGCAATGGATGGAGGAGGGAGGAGGACAGAGGCACAAGCCAGACAACCAAAACAGCTACAATATTTTAGAAGTGGAAACTTCCAGCTAGAGAATATTCTTAAAAACAGAACAGTAGGGCTGGAAGAGGCCTCAACCAAACCAATGCCTCTGTTTGGTGGATGAAATAGCTAAGAGGTGGAGGACAAAGAGACTTCTCTGGGATTACAAGGCTACTAAGTGGCAGAACTGGGACAGGAATCCAGGTCTTTGCTGTTTTTACCACTCAACAGAGAGTTTTGGAGTCCTTTCTCTAAAACCAGACTCTGCCAGGGGGCCCTCTTTTGTGGCTCAGTGGGGCAGAGGTGCAGACAGAGGGCTCTGGCAGAGGAGCAGCAGGGGTGAGCCTGTACCTTGCGGAATGACGCCCCGGGGCCCCAGCCCCTGCACCTCCATGGTGGGAGGGTCGTTCTCTGCTGCATTGGAGTTGTTGGGGGGGACAGCTCTCCTGCCCCCAAAGGTGGTCCCCGAGGTCTCTGACATTCTCAGCTTCACAAGCTCTTCTGGGAAAAAAAGGAGACAGAGGAAAGCAATGTGCAGTGAGTTACATTTGAGATAAGGATTCAAAAATAGAGAGCCATATCTGTGTGATAGCACTTGAGCAACACATTTTGGGTTTTGCATAAATAAAACTTGAGAAGTGGCAGTAAGGAGTTGTCTAATGATAGAGTACAGCCCCTCAAAGATCTTGGGGAGATTTTCTGTTTGTCAAAACATATGGAAAGCAGAAGAAAAGGGGCCTATTTGAAAAAAAATGAACAATGTAAAAGATTTTGGAGAGTAGGGTTGTCATCCTCATTATCCCTAAAGGCAACTGTCATGTGCATGTACATATATCCATTTCATATAGACTTAGGAGGCCTAAGTCACTTCTAAGAATAAACTCACACAACTATGCCCAGATAAGTGGTGTCCTCTAAAACATTCATATTTGCAATTTAATTCAACCAATATTTAGTGAGGGCCTACTATGTGTGGGGCTGTGATCTAGGTACTTGGGATACATGAGAGAACAAAACAGGATTCTTCCCCTGGGTTGCTACCAGCCTTGTAGGGATTAGGGTGAAACCCAAAATTTTCAGAAGTAAACAGAAGGGTATGAGAAGGTGGTAACTGCTTTGGAGCTAGGACCACATGAGCAGGATAAAGAGATAGAGGGTGTGCATAGGTGAGAGGAAGGGTGCCTGCAATTTTAAAGAGGACTATAAATAGCCTGTTCTCTAAACTCACTTGGTCAGTGGTGGTAACCCTGCCCTTGCCCCAAGCCTGCTTCCCCTTCCTTTGCAGTTTGTGCAGGCAAAGGGCCAGTTTCAACACCACACACCTTACTGTTGGGCACTGACCAGGACTTGTTGACCAACTGACCGAATGAAGGGAGACCTTGTTTCTGGCCCAAATGAAGCTTTCCCCTTGATCGCTGGGATTTCCCAGCCATGACTTCTGCTTATTTGGCTGTTTTCAAAAACCAGACACGCCCTCAAAAGATGAAGAGCTGCTACTGTTAAAGCAACTAGAGGAGACTGTTCCAGAAACGTGTTGAGCAAAGGCAGTCACATCTGGAGACAAGAGAACCACCTCCTAAGTCATGTGGTCTTGGAAGGAGATGGCATGTTTGGAAGTGTGAAGTCTGAATTGTTATCTATAAACAACCATCAACATTATTCACCATCTCTAGTGAACTGAGGGGAAGGCAGCCGCGAGAGATAAAGGGTTAATTGTGGCAGGATGGCAGGAACAAGCAGTCCTCCGGAGGGAAAGAGCAAGGGTGGGCTGTAGGATCACTAGGGGCCAGAGGGTTGGGGAAGAACAGTGCAGAGCAGGCCAGGAGCCCGCTGGGGGAGAACACTCCTAAAGCGGAGAACCAGGAGCCCCAGGGGCTTGCCAGGCCCAAGAAGCTGCGCAGGCCTGCCTGGGTGAGTGCAGGGGCTCAGAAGCACCACCTTCTGCCAGCTCAGCGGGCCGGGGGCTTTCCGAGTTCAGCGCCCGCACTGAGGTGGGGGAAGGGCATGCGCAGGGAGGAGACCGAGCCCAGTGGATCACGGATCCTGGTAACAGCCAAGCAGGTGTTCTTACCTGGACCCCCTCCCTCTGCTTCCAGCCACTTGCGTCCCTTGAGGAAAGGGGGCCTGTCCCTTGGGAGAAGCACTTCTAACTCCCTCATTCCCATTTGAAAGCCTTCTTAGAAAGCTGCACCTTCAGAAAAAGCTTCGCGGGGTACCTGAGAGAAGTCCTTGCTTAGAAGTGGGGCTGGATAGGGGCAGAACGATTGCAAGTGGAGCTGCCTCTGCCCCCAGGCCCCCTGCACCCAGAGCGGCCACCCTGAGGGATTGCGGGGAAAACCGAGGGACGGGGTTGGGGCACCCAGCGGGCGACTGGGTCCTTGCGCACAGGCTGCGGTGATGCTGGGCAAGGCTCTGGGGCTTACCTGCGGTTCCCTCCGAGGTACCCTAGCGCAAGCTGGCTCTGTGCGGCTCAGGGGTACTTCCTCCAAAGGACTCAAGAAAAACGACAGGAAAGTTGGGTCTTAAATAACTTCCTAGCAGCCCCCGCCCAACTCCCCCGTCCCACAGGGTTTTCTCCTCCCCCTTCTTGACAGCTGGAGCCAGCAAGCAGCTTCTAGGACTTTCTGTTTACTTCTGCCATGCTGCTCTGCTATCCTGGCATGCACCTCCTCTGCCCACCCAGGCCCCCCTTCCTCCCAATGACCCAGCCCCTTCTCCTCACCACCCCCACCAGCAGTTCTGTAGCCCCTCGGGCGAATGACCCTGCGGTGTCACCCACGGGCTCTTTCCCTGTGGTCAGAGCAATGGGAGGATCCTCCTTCACAAAGGAACGTTTTTGCCATCCAGGATTATGAAG